GCAGATTCCTGCCGTGTAACTTCTTCTGGTTTGACACGGCTGGTTTGACACGGTCTTACTCTAGGACAGTCCATATATACAAATAGCCATTGCTCTATTTGCTCCCTTCTCGATCTCTCCAACTATGCAAAGGCAAAACCCTAGCTGACTGACCATCATTCACCTAGCTAGCTCATGAGTGCAGGAAGAGGCTCAGACATGCAAGATTCTCTAAGCTTGATGCAGTTTCATGATCCGTACCTCTACAGCGGCAGCGCTGGGAGCGCCAACCAGCCACTGTCACACCCTTTCTTGCCTCATCATCACCAAGGTTTTGTCGATAATTGCACTGGCAAGGACGTGGCAGATTCGTTCGTCGACCCGGCGACAACGGCGGAGGTAAGCGGCGAGCAGGAATTAGCAGTAAGCAAGGAGGTCTCTGAGGGAGGAGGTGATGGCGCGGTGGTGGTGGAGGTGGAGGAGCGAAACGACGCCACGACGGCCAGGGGCGACGAGGAGGCTCACGGCGTCCGGATGATTGCGCTGCTCATGGAGAGCGCGGTGGCCGTGTCGGTGGGCAACCTCGCGGACGCCAACAGCATGCTCCTGGAGCTGGCGCAGATGGCGTCCCCGTACGCGTCGTCCTGCGGGGAGCGGCTCGTGGCCTACTTCACCAAGGCCCTGGCGGCGCGGCTGATGAGCTCGTGGGTCGGCATCTGCGCTCCGCTGGCGCCGCCGTGCGCGGCCGTCCACGCCGCGTTCAGGGCCTTCTACAACGTCTCGCCGTTCGCGAGGTTCGCCTACCTGGCGTGCAACCAGGCCATCCTGGAGGCGTTCCACGGCAAGCGCCTGGTCCACATTGTCGACCTCGACGTGGTGCCGGGCGGCGCGCTGCAGTGGCTCTCGCTGCTGCCCGCTCTGGCGGCGCGGCCGGGAGGCCCGCCGGTGCTCCGCGTCACCGGGTTCGGCATGTCGCGGTCGGCGCTTCACGACACCGGCAACCAGCTCGCCGGGCTCGCGAGCAAGCTGAGCATGCCGTTCGAGTTCTACGCCATCGCGAAGCGGCCCGGGGACGTCGTCGGCGCCGCGGCGGCGGCGGACATGCCCAGCAGGATGCCAGGGGAGGCCCTCGCCGTGCACTGGCTGCGGCACGCTCTGTACGACGCGGCTGGGGACGACGGCGCCACGATGCAGCTGGTGCAGTGGCTGGAGCCCAAGGTGCTGACGCTGGTGGAGCAAGAGCGAGCAGGAGCGCCCGGGGACGTCGGTGGTGGCGGCGGCGGCGACCGCGGCCACTTCCTGGACCGATTCGTCTCTGCGCTGCACCACTACTCGGCGCTGTTCGACTCGCTGGGCGCGTCGCGGCCGAGCGACGAGGACGCGAGCAGGCACCTGGTGGAGCAAGGCGTGCTCGGCAGAGAGATCGGCAACGTGCTGGCGGTCGGCGGCCCGTCGCGGAGCGGGCGGGGGAAGTTCGGCTGCTGGCAGGCGGAGCTCGCCCGGCACGGGTTCCTACGAGCCGGCAGTGTGGGGCGCGCGCAGCTGGTGGCCGGCGCGTGCCCGGCGGGACTAGGCTACACGGTGGCGGACGACCACGACGGCACGGTGTGGCTGGGGTGGAAGGGCACCCCGCTCTACGCGGTCTCCACGTGGGCATGGTGCCCCTCGCCTCACGCACAGGCACACCGTTAGCAGGCAGTCGCTTTATTAGTACCAATGGACTGTGTGATAAGGTGCTACGCACCAACGGGTCCAATGCCACGCTAGAGTGGTCTCTTACAAGTGGGCCTACATAGTCACATGTGCGAAGCACTGTGGCTGCTGGGCCGACTTGTCAGTGGCCAGTTCTGGTTAGTGGTTGCTTTTACATGTATCATGTTTGTTTGGCTCCAGTATAAATAGTTTCCAATCCCGATCGATCAAAATGGATTTAGCATTAGGAAAATGCAAAAGGATCGTATCTGAATTTTGCAGTTCGAATAAATAAGGAACTCATGGCTGCAACTGGCTCAGTTTCTTCATCGTGCGTTGAAGATTTGTCCACGTAGAGGCAGGCAACGCATATGTAAATAAGATAAGATAGCTATATAAGCCCAGCAAAGATACTGAATAATTCATGTCAATTGCATCAATGAATGTGCGGAAGTGCTCCCTGTAGGACGCCAGGCCGTCCGGATGACGGCTTCCCAGGCCTATGCAAGTGCAACGGACAGACCCAACATGCCCTCGCTTCTCTATTAAAAAAACAACTGCTGGACGCCGATTTCTCAATCCTCGTCGCTCGCCCGTCGTGGCATTCTTCACCACCGCACCACCCTTTGGTCGCGGGCTCCGTCTCGCCCAACCCCAAGGTAACGGGTTCCGTCTCGCCCGACCCCAAGGTCGCGGGCTCCGGATCGTCCGACCCTTTGGTCGCGGGCTCCGTCTCGCCCGACTCTTTGGTCACGTCCTCATCTCGCGCCGACCTCTTGGGTGCAGTGTCTGTTGAGGGCTGGGGGTATATATACCTTTCACTTTTCTCGTCAACGGCTATCCACGATTTAAAGTGACCGTTGGGGGCTGGGGTGTATATATCTTTCCCCTTCCTTTCCAACGGTAACCAACCGGCTCTCTTCTTCCTCACTTTAGCACGCCAAAACAGAGCAGGAGCTCTCTCTCTCTCACTCCATTGTTGACTTCAAGCCCCCAAGTAAATCCATTAATTTTGCCATCAATCCTTGAGGGAAAAGGGTTCAAAACCCGAATAGAGAGCAGTTCCATTGATTCCAAAACTCTAAAGAGCACTTGGTTCACATCTTAGCCGGCGGTGGTGTTTGTTACTCTTGGAGCTTGGCTCCTAGCCGGTTAAAGCGTCGCCCGGTGAGCTTGCCAAGTTTGTGGTACCACCGGGAGGTTTGTAACCACCTCTTGCAGCGATTAAAATCACCTCTCATCTCAAGAGTTTATTTTCTTGACTTGAGAACGAGGTAGGGTTGCAAATCCCTAAGTCTTAGTGGTATACCTCAACAACGTGGACATAAGCAAGCCTTGGTGGTGAGCTAAACCACGGGATAAATCCTCGTGTCATCTTGTGCTTATGTTGCTACACTTGTATTCTTGTTGTTGCTGAGCTGATCTCTAGAATTTGAGGCCGATCTACTTGTGTGTGGTGTTCCCACCACTTTCAGCTGTTGATCTGTGATCTACTACTCTACAGGAAGTTAAGAAATTTACCCAATTTAAATTTCGTTGGGTAGATTTTGAATTGTGAACTAATCTCTCCTATAGGTGCAGTAGTGCCGCGCTCACAGAGCGGCAGTGCCACGGGTGAATTTAACTTCAGTTTAAGTTGAATTTTTATAGGCCTATTCACCTTCTCTAGGCGTTCCAGTGATCCTACAGACGTGGTCCACAATGACCGCTGCGGCGCGCCAGGGCACCTACTTGGCGCCATCCTTCATCTCTCCACCGCATTGAGCCGCCCGCCTGCCGCCATCCTCGCTCTCCACTGCACTCGAGCGCCGCTTGCTGGTTACCGTAGTTCCCCACAAGGTAGGTCGTGGCCGCTGGCGATGCCGTGTTTCAGGTGTTTCAGATATATTGTTCAAGTGTTTCATCTGGATGTGCGTATGTTGCAAAGGCTATATACGCATGTTGCAAGCGTATGTTTCATGTTGCAAGCATATGTTTTAGTTTCAAACGTATATTTCAAGTGTTTCATCTGGATGTTACAGAAGTATATCTGGATGTTGCATAATATGCATGTTGCAAGCATATGTTTCAAGTGTTTCAGGTGTTTCACACGTATGTTGCAAGTGTTTCATTTAGATGTTGTAAAAGTATATCTGGATTTGCAATGGCTTTCAAGTGTTTCAGACGTATGTTGCAAGTGTTTCAGTTGTATGTTGCAAGTGTTTTCATCTGGATGTTGTAAAAGTAGATCGAAATGTTGCGCAAGTTGCTATGGGACCCACCTGCTATAGACACCTACCGCTGCTACTAGGTCCACGGCGCGCATCCGTAGGCGTGGCAAGTGACTGGACCCACGTGGGTTTCCCGTGTGCGGGCGCAACAGTCATTGGGCGAAGTAGAGCGAGCGCGATGGTAGGGACAGGAAGCAGCGTGGGGTCCATGTGGGGCGCGCGAAAACAGGCTGGCGCGCCCTCTCTTTATGCGCGCAGCAGCGTCCGGACTAAAGTTTAGGAGGTGTCACATCGGACGTAGATATTAATCATAAAACTAATTGTAGATGTCGTGACTAATTCGCGATATGAATCTATTAAGTCTAATTAATCCATCATTATCACATGTTACTATAGCACCACATTATCAAATCATGGACTAATTAGGCTTAATAGATTTGTCCCGCAAATTAGTCTTAATTTGCGTAATTAGTTTTGTAATTAGTTTATATTTAATACTCTAAATTAGTGTCAAACATACGATGTGACATGGACTAAACTTTAGCAGGGGAAAACCAAACACCCATCCCGGGCAAAAGGGCAGGGTGGCAATAGATTACAATATGTACCCCACTCTACGTTCCGGAAATTTTTTTGGTTAACAACCCAAAAAAGCGAATCTATATTCTACCATCCAAAAGACTCACCTAACTAACACATCCTCAACACATCCCTTGGGGAGTGTTCGGCTGGCTGTAAAGCCGTTGGTGCTGATTTGTATGGCTAATTTTTTAGAGAGAAAAATATTGTACCATAACTTATAAGCCAGCGAATAAGCTGGCTGATAAGACCAGCTGAACACTCCCCAAATTGTGATGTTGCTATGCAACCCAGCAACCTTTTCCGATCTAACTGTACATCTATCAGCGAATATGGCAGCCTGTCTGCATAAATTCACAGCAAATTTCCTCCTCAACTCAGTAACATCTTGAGGAACCAGGATTTCTGTGGTGGAGCTCCCCTCGGATAGAATAAAGTCTTCTTTCTTTGCACGTCAATGGAGCAAATTTCCTACGCAACAAAGTAACTCTTGCTATTTTTGCAGAACATTGCCCGACATCCCTTGCAAACGTTGCCATATCATGGGTTTACATTGCAATCGATCATAAATGGATCGTCCCTCGGCAGGTACCTCTTCCAGTATTTCCTGTACCGGCGTATCCCAAGTTCTAACCAGGGTTTCATGTTACCATTGTAGTGCAATATGGCAGCTTTCTTTATAGCACCGTGAGTGAGTCCGTAGTAGGGCTGAATATGAGCCAGTTAGGCTAACGAGCTGGCTCGGCTCGGCTCGTTAATATTACGAGCTAGAGGGGCAGCTCGGCTCGGCTCGTTACCGAGCTCGAGTTGGCTCGTTTAGCTTGCGAGCTACTACAAAAAAAACATATTTATAATGTTTATGCTACATTAATTTCAGAAGATGATGTCCATTATTATGCAACTATACATGATTAATACATATCAGGTTCATCAAAAGTATCAACCATGCAACGTAGCTGATTCATCCATGATCATGCAGTTCCAGCATACTAACTAGTTGATTGCCACCACAAACTTAAGAAAGTCCACAGATTCAATGTACCATCATCATCTTCTCCCTGAAAAACAATACATAAAATCAACATTTAAGTACCACAACAATTATAAAATTAAAATTTATATAAAACAGCTGAAAATAAGGATTACATACCAATAGAATAGGTGTACACTTCTAGGTCAGCATCATCATCTTCTAGATTCATGGTCGTAGGCTGATAGGCCTCAGCTCGTTTCAGCTCGTGAGCAGCTCGCGAGCTGGCTCGTTAAAATAGCGAGCTAGACTTCCAGCTCAACTCGTGAAAAAGTTAAAACAAGCTGAGTCAAGCCGAGCTGAGCCGGCCACGAGTCGAGCGAGTTGGCAAGCCACGAGTATTTTGTCCAGCCTTAGTCCGTAGTCATGACCCAGACCAAACTGCACCCACTGGCCTTCAATAGGATGGATCAGATCTTGAAAAACAAGTAGACCTGCAGGTAGTGTTGCAGCTCTCCAGGAAGCTTCTGACTCATGTTGCATCTGTTAAAGGTAATATGAAAACAGCTTTGTCAGATCAAGAGTTTACAAATTCCTGGTTTAACAAGCTAAACACATAAGCATTAAAGAAGCGGGCTGGGTAACTTCTAGCAACCACAATATGCTACTACCTACTTGAAGGTAGGTAACTAAAGTGCAAGAGAGGTTATGGCTCTAGAATTTTAAATTGATTTGAAGGGTACAGAGTACACGCATATATATAGGCCAGGATTCAGATTGGTTTATGGAAACATGACCAATCGCAGATATCCTTGCCTTTTCTCTAAGCATCTAATAAGGCCTCGTTCGGCTGGTGCTAAAAAAGCACGGTAGCCGGCTGAATTTTACTGTAGCCGGCGGATTCCTCTCACATATTCCTCCAAGCGAACGGGGCCATACAAGAGGTACAGGCCTATAGCCTTTCGGCCCAAAAGGCTCAACCGAGCTAGCCGGCTGATTCCTCTCACATATCCCTCCAAGCGAACAGGGCCATACAAGAGGTACAAGCCTATAGCCTTTCGGCCCAAAAGGCTCAACTGAGCCTAGTCTAATTACTCTAACATAAGGAAAGTGGTTACTGATGCATCCATTACAAATAATTGAAAATCCCACAATTGAAATATACATGAACATGGCAACAGTTAATTGTTAATATTAAACTAACCTTCTTTTGTATCCGGTGATGAATTCCAGTGACATCATGTTCCCTCCATTTATCGAGATCAATAACAGTCACTCCAGACATCCATATGCACGAACTGGAATTATAGGGGAAATCATGCAAGTATGCCCTGAGTTGACCGAATCTTACTCGACAAAACTGGACAGCACCAATCACTTTTCCTTTTAGGTCAAGGTTCCACAGGAGCGACAAGTCTCTCTGGACTATAGTATCATCTTCCAGGACAATGACCCTTTTAAGACTGCTAAAGAATTCAGGAAGCACGAACAGGGAGTGCCCAAACATTGAAATATATTCAGTTCTCAGAAGGGTGTTTAGCGTTGGAGCATTGCTATGGGAGGTGATGCGCAACTCCTCAGATGTTGATAGCTGTTCAACTTTCCCATTAACCAAATTCTTCAGTTGAGAATACTCAAAATTAAGGACATTGATAGTAGCTCCCTTGTAAGCATTTCTGACGAACCAGTTCTTAAATGCATAGAAGTTCTGTGCATCAGTGACAAGATGGAAAACCATATTTGCCGATTCCTGCAAAATTATGAGTGAGTGAAACTATGCAGATTTTCAAAAGAATAATGGTACAACACAATATACAATAATATACCTCAGAATTTATCACAGTTGAGTTGACGGTCATGGATGATGCAAGAAGGTTGGTGGAGAAAATAATGTAGTGCAAGCAATGCAGGATTTTCAAGCTTCTCTCGCCTGAATGCTCTATGTCAGCTGAGGAATTAAAGTAGTCAACTGTCAATCTCATTGAAAGGCAGTGGAGGCTCTTGGGTAATGTCTGAACTCCAAGCCTGTAAAGATAAGCACTCTGTCTTGCATGAAAAAGAGCTTCATCTTGGGTCATATCAAGCAACTGTTTTAGCTTTTTCTCAACATTAGTGCATTATACAGCACATGATTTTGCTGCAGCAATTGTCTGGTCCATCTAGGCCATATTGACTCCATGACTTCAAAAATGGCAACAAAGATTCATTATAATGGCCTATTCAACAAATGCACTAAAATTATTCTTTGAAAGTCAGATTGAATAAGATCATAAGAGAGATTGTCAGAAATATCAACTGACGAGCCCACTAATACATTCAGCCCAGACCCCACCCACCATTAATGACAAACTAGCATTCCCAAAATCGCATATAGATTACATATTCAACCAGACTACATATCGACAGTAATGAGGGTTCAAAATATGCAAAAATGTATAAAACATAAAAATAATAATGTGAACTAACAACACAATCTGATGTGGAAGGCTACTGGACCATTGTGGTAACAAGACTGCTTGCCTCCTTGTGTATTGTTACTACCAGCCGACACCTCTGACTCAGGTAATGCTGTCAATAAGACACAGCTTCTATTGTCTGCATATGACTATATGAGCATATCACACTACTATAATACTAGGAAGCAACAGGTGCAAAGGCAGAATGATGAAATTATAACTTGCTACAGTTAACTCAATAACTTGCAATCGCGTTTTGCAGCAATGGTCAAAAGCATGAATCCAAACACTTCTACTTGAGCAAACTTCTGGTCCTTGAAGTCGGCTGTATACTTGTATTGTTTGAATAAATAAGTTATTATGTTACAATTCAAAGTGAAAACTGAAGAAAGTAATGTCTTAATGTCAAACTTACAATTTAGGAAGATCATCATCTGATATGGCTTCACTAAGCATATGCTCAAGTTCTTGGATATTTTGTTTCATTTCGCGTGAAAGCTTTTCCATGCCGTCAAGTTTCAAAATGCTTGGATAGTAAGCTCTTGCAACAAAGAGCTGATCTTTAAGTCTCTTCACTATAGAATCTTTCATGACCTCCTTATGTTCTACAGACCAACGACAATAGCTTCCAAATTGAACCTGGCAGAATGTTCCATTCTCATCACCAGGTAAACCTTGTTCAAAGTTGTCCTTCAAATCAATGTTAGTAATCTGCAAAAGTAGGGCTAGAAAGATCAGGCAACATGAAAATATCATCACACCAGGTAATCTATGAAACCTTTGCTTGTAAATGGCACCCAAACAGATTCTGATAAATACTATCATAAGATTTCACGTCTACATTTTCTACTGGTGGCTCTTACATTGGGCAGCATAGAACTTTCCAAAGTCGTAGCTTGTTGGAAAGGAGGAGCTGCATATTAAATAAGTATTAGACAAAATATTGTCATTTTCAATATTTCATTTACGAAAGTGACTGAAAAGAAACCTACCTGGATGAATTGAGATATCTTCATTAAATTTGCAAAGCTCTGGTTGGCTGCCAATAACCTTGTCAGATGGACTGCCATTTGTGTCTGTCCACTCCTGTTAGACAAATCGAAAACTTATTAGCAAGATAATAACAACAATGAAACAAGTGTTGGTATATAAACAAGATTTATGAGACACGAATCACGTTACTCGGAGAATCTTCATTCCAAATAAGCATTTTATGTAATAAATATTGAAGAATCACCAAAATATTGTATAATATAACTATTTCAACAGTTACAACAAATTGGTCACCCAACACAGAAGTTATATCATTATTTCTTTCCCTGTTGTAAGACAAAGCTAATTATCTAACATTCTAACACTATTGGCCAAGCCAGAACAAGCTATATTTGTGCTATATTTCAAGTAAGCCAACCAGTGAAAATTTCACAGTAATCCCAAAATAAAGCAAAATGGTTTTTGATATCAAATAATCCAATGGGGATTGAATTCCAAGTTCCCACTTAAATCCCACAGAAGCTTTCAGCTTTTCTTTTCTTTCAGCGAGTTCATACTTCACACTGGTAGCCCAAAATTAATCTGGCTCGAACAATAAACCCGCAAATGACAATACAAGCACCGATTCAGGAAACAGGCTGCAATTCAGTCAGTATACCAGGGCAGACATTTTCCAGGTAGTACCCTAACAAATGCCACTAGCATCCGTAACAAATGCCACTAGCATGAGTGCATGACTAGTTCTCTGCTGAGCACTATGACAGTCTTTTATAGTTGCTGTATTAGGTCATCACTAAATAATTTTTAGCACCTAAGAAAGGGCTTAAAAGCTCTCCCAACCAGGGCGGGCCCCATGGGTGTGCGGCCTATGCGACCGTACAGGGCCCCCTAATTTCCAGGGCCCCAAAACAATCAGTCCAGCAGAGAGCAGGCCCACCAGGTCCAGTCCACGCGTGGGGCAACAAGTCTGCAGAGTTCGGCGCGTGTCTGCTGCGGCCATTCCTATTGGCGACTTCGCTGGCACTTCAGATTCTCGCGCCGAGCCCCAGCGGCGATTCAGTATTCTCCTGTTCATCTTTGTCAATAGCCAGTTCATCTTCACCGGTGCCAGCGGCAGGAGGCTGGTCTCTTGTCGCACACTCCCTCCATTCTGTAGTAGTGTCAGGTTCTGCAAAATCAGAAACAACAACGATTTTGGATTCTGCAAAATCCATTCGCATCCGTCCCAGTCCTTCCGGTATGGCGAGGGACTGAAGCCTGAGAGAGAGGCAGAGGCCTTAAGCCTGCTGCCTGCAGGTAATTCGTTTTTGTTTTTTTTACTTTTTCAACTCTAATTGTACTAATTAAATCCTTCATAGTTCATATGACAGTCTAGAGTTGTCTACAATACATATATTATTTTGAATATATTTTCTAGATTGCTATAGTCGTATAGCTTATCTGCTACTTTAGTTTAGGCCTCACATATACTTGTACAGGGCCTCCAAATTTCATAGCACGGCCCTGCCCCCAACAATCATGCATAGATTGTTACCAAGAAAATTAACTTAATCTTAACAGTAACTTACAACATTCATGAACCATACATGAAATGCATGCATTTGATAAATGAAAGTAAAATTCTAGCCACAGAATTGCTAACAGTCAATAATCCTTTGAGATCTGGAGTACCAAGGAGAAAGAAGTGATACTTTAGTTGCACACTGATGACTTGCAAAAATGTCAGTAAAAAGAAGTAAAGATCACTAAATCATCAACACTGAAAAATCAAACACTGAAAGTACTTCCACTTCAACACAGCCATGAGGCTTCAGGTGAAGACTGAAGAAACACATATGACAGGAACTGACAACAAGCATGCTGCGAAAGTTCACGCACTGATAAACCAACAAACAAATGATAATGCAATTGCAGACCTTCGAAGTAGGCGGTACAAACTCCTTCACGGTATTGTTGATTTGCGAGCTGTCATTTTCCTGGAGAAAGAAGCCATCAGTGTGACTAAATATTTTATTCTATTCCAACAGAGATCATCATTGACCGAATCTAACAAGATACGCGCACACGCCTAACAGCACCCGTCCACACCCCACGTGATTGGGACCCTTGTAGAAATGGAACAAAAGATAACCCGGAAATGCTAGTGATTAGGAGTTGAGGAGTCCTACCTCCGACGGAACCTGCTGCCAAGTACCACCCTCGCTGCCGTCATAAACCTATACGGCAGCAATGTAGGGCAACGCTTAACAAGCACCGAATTAGAGTAAACATAAGCTATTCAGATAGATTCAATCGACACTCACCGACACCGCGCTTTCGTCGACCAAGTACACTGCAGAGACAAAAAAACAACAGAATTGGGGTAAAAACAACGGGTAACCAGTTGAGGTGCCCCGAGATCGTGCTTGCGCACGCGAACCGAACGGAATGCCTGGATCCGGGAAGCGAGCGGCACGGCGAGGGTGTAAAAAAAAGGTAAGGTTTTGGGGGGAGGGGTAAGGTACGGACTTGAGGGGAAGCGCGTGTGGAGACCGAGGAGCACGGCGAAGGGCACGACGACGGAGAAGAAGACCAGCGCCAACGCGGCCCCCGTCGCCGCCACGCACCGCCACCGACGCTTGCCCGCTGGCGCGGCGGTGGCGGCCACCGGTCCCAGGCTCTTCATCCCGCGCGCCGCGTCACCCGAGCAGCGGTGTTGACTGGCCGGCGGCGGTAGCTCTATAGAAGTCGGGATGGAATAACGGGAAGCCGCAACCCACGCTGACTTGTTTGAATGGGCAGGACGTATTAAAAAGTGGCTGTGGCCTTCGGCTTACCTGACCTAAGGCCGTCCGACCTCGAGGCTACGGGAGTCTCGTCAAGGTCGCGAGATCCGTCTCGTCCGATTTCGAGGCCACGGACTCTATCTCGCCCGATTCTTTGGGTCCGTGCTCCGTCTCACCTGACTCTTCGGATGCGGGCTCCGTCTCGCCCGACCCAAAGGACACTGATTCCGTCTCGTCCGACGGGGACCCATACTACCGCCAACCACTCCAGGTCCAAGCGTATGGACCTAGATTAAAACTTTGACAACAGGAAAGAGGTTGGTATGGCTCGATGTAACCCATGGCCATGACGGGCCGTACCTGAGGATTCACATCAGGAACAGCATCGAGCGTGCCGGTGCTGTTCTGTTTAACCCTCGTACGAACGCTGACAGGCGCGTCAGTTCATCACGACGTCCGCTGGGACGAAATGGAACGTCATGACCGGCAGATGACGCATGCGCATGGCACCAGTGACGAATAGGGCCACGCCAGTTAACATCTATAAGATCGGTGGGACCCGTGTGAAGGAGAAGAAGGACCCAGCGATCTAGAAGCATTCTTCTCTCTCGTTCTTCTCCTTTTCCTTCGCTGTAAACCATGATTTCCCTTCGCCTATAAAAGAGGAAGCAGGGTGTCCTATGAAGGAAGATCCAGATCCGTACGAGATCGAACCATGAAATAAAAATATAAGAGCACGACACGAGCACACGGCTGAGCAGCGATCGAGCTCTCAACCTACTGCAAATCAAGTGTCGGTAACACGAGCAGCAACAAATTGCACGTAGGGACGTTCCGCCCGAACCAATATAACCCCTTATGTCCTCCAAGCACACCATCCGAGCCAGACGTGCAAATATAAATTTACTCGTCGGTGGTCCAAAAACACCAACAGTTGGCGCGCCAGTTAGGAGGTTTTTTGCACGTCTCGACGTCCACATCAGGCCTCAGATGTCTAGTCACGACGTTAGCTGGGTCCCGGGCATGCACGTGCGCTTCGGGAACCTGGACTTCATCGTCACGACGGGGGGGAGAGTTGGTGAAGGCTCCCGTCGCCGTCCAACCTCTCTACTTCGCCGGCCTCGACACGACCGCCGAGGCGCTTAAGGAGCTACGGCTGCATGCACTGGAGGCCTGTACCCCGGGGAGCGACCAACTCCTCGGCTTCGATTACGGGAGGCTAGAGCGCCAGCTCGGCGCCTTCCTGGGACCCCGATCGTCCCGGGAGGACCTGGACCGCCTCACCTTCTCGTTCGCCAACGTCATGATGTAGCTTGCCAGAGGAGAGCCGCTCTCCCAGGAATACCTCATCCGGAGCGCCCCGACAATGCTCCCGTTCGGTCTGCGCAACGCCGCAAAGACCATTGGCTACCTTGTGGTGCAACGCACGGCCTCGTCCCCTACGGACGATGAGTTCATCGAGATAACCGAATATGTCATGGAATCTTTCCACGATCTCCTCGCGGGAGAATCGGAATCGCCCTCTGACTCTGACTCCAGCAGGGGGAGCCATCACCCCTCGCGTGAATATTTCATGGCAGGTACCCCGAGGGATACATCGAAAGCATCCACAAGGGAGGGCTACCCTAGCAGACGACCTCAACGATGAGGTCGAGGGGGACGCAGGGGCCCACCTCGTTTGCGGGTAGAGTAGCTAAGGACGCGGCACCAAGAGCTCGAAGAAGCACGACTCTAGCTCGAGCAGAAATGCGCGAAGCTCGAGCGAGAGATCGAGCGCCATGGAGACAGTGGGCGTGGGCGTGCCGTGGCCCGCGACGTGAACTGGAGGATCATCAAGGACGACGAAGCCCTCCCACACTTCACCCGGGTAAGCCAGAACGTCGTTGTCGTAGTGGCCTTACTCCGGGGGCTCCCAGAGCCTGCGACACCCGAGGATCGTCGGGCCCATCACGCTACTCGAGCGTGCGGCGGAGCATCAGGTCGAGAGCTTGCTGTCCCAATGACACGAGCTTGACGCCAGCCAGCACACGCCCTCAGAGCGACCTGACAAGGACGTGTCAGTCCACCAGGCATAGCAAGGCGGTAGGCCGCATGCCACGGTCCCGGTGCATGAACGTCTCGGCCTCCACCGTGATGCGTGCGACACCCTCGATACCCGTAGGCGTACCCATGGTAATGCGAGGGAGGAGGCTAGCCATGGCTACCACCCTCGTCGTGGAGGACATAAGGGCCCGTGAACCACCAAGGAGCTCCTCGACATCACCACCAGCCACGCCTCAGGCGAGGAGGCGGTCGGGGTGATTTTCGACCACCTCAAAGGCAAGGCAAAGCGAGATGAAGACGTCGGCAAAGGCACCTCCAACCGTCCCAACAAAAAGAAGAACAAGCAGCAGTGTGAGAGCTCGCTCATGGCCACCGCCGACCGCAAGGGGGGTCGGAAGACCACCGAGGGTACCCCAAACCACTTCGAGAAGCTGCTCGAAGGGACATGCCCGAGCCATGCTTTCCCTATCAAGCACCTATACAAGGACTGCGTCCTCATGAAGCGGTTCTTGTCCGAAGGCTCCAACAAGGGGGAGCATAGGAAGGAGCCCAAGTCAACCGTAGACGACGTCGATGGGAAGGACGTCGACTTTCCGACCCTGGATGGTTGCCTCATGATCTTCAGAGGGTCGGCGGCCAACGACTCCAAACGCTGCTAGAAGCTTGCGAGCCGTGAGGTCTATACGGCTGAGCCGGCCGCGCCTACCTTTCTTAGATGGTCGGAGTCCACCATGACCTTTGATCGGACCGACCACCCAGAAAGCGTCCCACAGCCAGGAAAATATCCGCTCGTGGTCGACCCGATCATCGGCATGAAGCGGCTCACCAAGGTGTTGATGGATGGAGGCAGCGGCCTCAACATCATGTACGCTAAAACGCTCGACGCCATGGGTATCGACCGAGCGCGCATTCGGTCGACTGGGGCACCTTTCCACGGTGTCGTGCCAGGAAAGCAGGCCGTGCCACTTGGGTAGATTGATATGCTCATCACCTTGGGGGATCCAACCAATTACTGGACGGAGATCCTTACCTTTGAGGTGGTCGGGTTGCACAAAACCTACCACGCCATCCTAGGACGTCCATGCTACGCGAAGTTCATGGCCGTCCCCAACTACACCTATCTGAAGTTGAAGATATCGGGTCCACACTGGGTCATCACCATCGGCACCTCCTCCAGCACACCTATGAGTGCGAGGTCGAGTGCTACGAACACGTCGCGGCAATTGTCGCCTCCAAAGAGCTTGCGGCCATCAAGGAGGTGGTCATCAAAGAAGCACCGGACCTCAAGCGGTCTGTCGGGCTTTCAAGCCTAGAGGGCACCAAGGAGGTCCTCATAGACCCTAGCGATCCCAAGGGCAAAGTGGTGTGCATTAGCACCATGCTTTCCTCCTAATAGGAAAGCGCGCTCACTGACTTCCTTTGCGCCAACGGAGATATTTTTGCGTGCAGACCCTCAAACATGCCTGACATTCCGAGAGAAGTCACCGAGCATGCCTTGAAGATTAGGCCAAGCTCCAAGCCGGTGAAGCAGCGCCTGTGTCACTTCAACGAGGAGAAATGCAGGGCCATCGGCGAGGAGATTGCGAAGCTTTTAGTGGCCGGGTTCATCAAGGAAGTATACCACCCCGAGTGGTTAGCCAATCCCGTTCTTATATGAAAAAAGAGTGGGAAATAGAGAATGTGTATTGACTACATGGGTCTCAACAAAGTGTGTCCAAAGGATCTGTTTCCTTTGCCATGCATAGACTAAGTAGTCGACTCGACCTCAGGGTACGAAACCCTTTGCTTCCTTGATGCGTACTCCAGGTACCATCAAATCACGATGAAAGAGTCCGACCAGCTCACGACATCTTTCATCACCCTATTCGGATCATTCTGCTATGTTACAATGCCGTTTGGTCTGAAAAACACGGGGGCTACGTATCAACGCTGCATGCTCAAGTGTTTCAGGGATCTCATCGGGTAGATTGTTGGGGCCTACGTGGATGACATCGTGGTCAAATCCAAATGGGCTGACCAGGTCATAGTCCACCTAGAGCAGACCTTCACGAAACTCTGAGCAAACGGCATTAAGCTCAACCCCGAGAAGTGCATTTTTTGGGTCGCAAGGGGTATGATGCTGGGCTTTATCGTCTCCGAGCAAGGCATCGAAGCCAACCCGGAGAAGATCTCAGCTATCACGAGAATGGGCCCGATTCAGAACATAAATGGGTTACAACGAGTTACGACGTGCCTCGTCGCGCTCAACCGCTTTATCTCACGCCTCGATGAACAAGGCCTCCCCCTTTATCAGCTTCTAAAGAAGGCCGACCATTTTAAATGGATGCCCGAGGCCCAGGAGGCACTTAACAAGGTTAAGCAGCTCCTGATGAAGGCCCCGATCCTAGTCCCTCCGACTAATGGGGAACCGCTTCTGCTCTATATTGTGGCCACCACACAAGTGGTTAGCGCTGCCCTGGTGGTAGAGCAAGAAGAAGGACACGCCCTCAAAGTCCAGCATCCCATATACTTCATTAGCGAGGTCTTGTCTGATTCTAAGACTAGCTACCCCCAAATCTAAAAACTCATGTACGCTGTCCTTATGGCCAAGAGGAAGTTGGGTCACTACTTCGAGTCGCATCTAGTGACAGTCGTAACATCCTTCCCTCTCGGCGAGGTCATCCAAAACTAGGATGCCACAGGAAGAATCATGAAGTGGGCACTCGAGCTGATGGGTCAAGGCATTTCATATGCCCCTCGGACGACCACCAAGTCCCAAGTGCTGGCTGATTTCGTTGCAGAATGGACCGAGGTCCAAATGCCACCAGCAGTGGTCAAACAAGAGTACTGGACGATGTACTTCGATGGATCACTGATG